GGTAGTGAGGTTGGCCCAGGATCGAACATTGTTTCGTTCTGCTGTGCATGGGGTCGCTATGAGTCGGTTCCGACTCGATGGCACATGACAACAACAACAACAACCTAATTGTGGCCAATTTTTCACCGAGTATTATCACCAGTCAGTTCCTGTTGCTGCTGTTGGTCAATGCTGGCAAGTCCATTCTGACTCATCGTGACCCTATATAGTTTTTCCGAGGAAAAGTCCAGTTCTTATCCTAAAGCGCCACACCAGGACGCCTGTTCATAAAGGTAAATAAATCCAGGATGTAACTTGTGAAGTTATATATTTTACAAGACTCTGATCTCAACAATTTTATAAAATAATACTTCTGAATGCAATGCACGTAAGGATTTAAACTGATACGTTGTTGTTGTTAAGTACTGTCATGTCAGTACCAACCCACAGCGACCCAGTATAGGGTTTCTGAGGAGTGGCTGCTGAGCTAGAACCACCAACCTTATGGTTCAAATGACTGTGCAGCCAAGCACATTAACCCACAGCACCATACCAGGAATCCACATAGACCCAGCTATAAACGGCACAAATTCAAAAATTTATAATTGTTCTTTCCTGCTATGGGTCGGAACCGACTCGACGGCACTTAACAACAACAACAACAACAACATTAGGGGTGAAAACCTAGGAATTTTATTTAGCTAATAATTGGGATTCATAAAGAACATTTATACCATGTTTACTTACAATGGAAAAAAACTGAACGACGTCAAGTTAGTAGAGTCCTTCAACCCTATTTAACCCAGTCTAAAGGAGCTCTGGTAGCGTAGTGGTTACGAATCGGGTTGCGAACCACAAGGTCAGCAGTTCGAAACTACCAGCTGTTCTGCAGAAGAAAGATGAGCTTTGTGCCCCCGTAAAGATTTATAGCCTCAGAAACCCTGCACAGGGTCGCTATGAGTCGGAACCAACTCCATGGCACATAACAACAACAACAACATTATGGAAAAAAACAATGAACTGTGTGATTACAACTAAGAAGAAAATCTTTTCTTACCTTCACTTTTTTATCCACTGAACAGGTTGCTATAAATCTGTCATCTGTAGAGAATGCACAGCAAAGCACTTCATCTTCGTGAGCCTTGATTTCTAAAAGCTTCTCTCCTGTTTCAGCTTTGAACACCTACACAGCAAGAATAGAGCCTATAAGCTATTTGACCCAAGCCATGGTATTTTCAATCACCTCATATGCGTGTGAAAGCTGGACAGTGAATAAGGAAGACCGTAGAAGAATTGATGCATTTGAGTTGTGGTATTGGAGGAGAATACCGAAAGTCCCATGGGCTGCCAAATGAACCAACAGATCTGTGTTGGCAGAAGTGCAGTCAGAGTGCTCCTTGGAGGCCAAGATGGACAAACTTCATCTCTCATACTTAGGACATATTGTCAGGAGGGACTAGTTGCTGGAGAATGATATCAAGTTTGGTAGGGTGGAGGGTCAGAGAAAAAGAGGAAGACCCCCAGCAAGATGGATTGGCAGAGAGGCAGCATCAGTGGGCTCAAGCGTGGCAACAATAGCGAGGTTGGCCCAGAATCGGGCAGTGTTTCATTCTGCTGTGCATAAGGTCACATGAGTCAGTACCAACTCGATGGCACCTAACAACAACAATCATTCAATAAAAATCTTCCTTTAAGCCATTTTAATCATTGTTATTTTGTAAATAAATGAGCCCTGGTAAAAAACACTCCAAAAGCGAAAGTTTCTGCTATAAATTTGGAAGCTTTAGCATAAACAACTATCCATCAATGCTAAATGTTTGTAAATATGAAAAAAGAGAAATGGCAGACTATAGCTTCAGTTCTTGAGACTATTTTGACAAATTATTAAAAATCAAACAGAAACATTTCATTCAATGTGCTATCTGGGGCTCAGATGCCCAAACTAATAAACTGTGAGATGCACACATATAAGGGGGTCTCAAAAAGTTTGTAGAAACATTCCATTACTTTTCAATACCATTTTTCAACAAACTATCTGAAGCCCCAATTGTACAGAAATAAGGTATGCATTCATAATCCTGCAAAGACTAAAACTATCCTAAATATAAAAATTCTAACTAATTTGTCTGTTTCCTTCAAAATCAAAAATACATATTACATAAATAAATTTACCAGATATAAAAAAATATATTCATTCAGATTGTCTGAAAATGTAAAGGAAATTCCTTAAAGGACCTTACGAAATAATCTAGCCAAATTCCTATTTAGTCATTAGTCCCTGCCTGAGTCTTTTATAAAATTAGATTTTTTTTCATTAGAGCCCTGTTGAATGTGCTATGAAGTCCTTATGTCTTTTAATAATTAGCATTTCTTCAATATCCGTTGCTGGCACATGGATGACAGATAACTAAATGGAAAAGTAAAAGGCACTGTGGTACCTTGAATTTACTTGATACGGCTTTTCTATCCAATGTCTTCTTCATTCTCACCAAATAACTGAGTTGCTATTAAGTACCATCAAGTCAGTTCCAACTCATAGCAACTCTGTATAGGGTTTCCAAGGTACAGCTAGTGGGTTTGAACTGCCAACCTTGTGATTAGAAGTCCAGTACTTACCCTACATTGCCTCACTGGGATTCCCAATGATTGGGTTGTTGTTGTTGTTGTCAGGTGCCATCGAGTCGGAACCGACTCATAGCGACCCCATGCACAGCAGAACGAAACAATGTCTGATCCTGGGGCAACCTCACTACCGCCACCACACTTGATTCCATCAATGATGCCACCTGGC